AGAAACAGAATAACTCTCAACAAACAAAAGTCCAGGACCAGATGGCTGAATAGGCAAACTTTACCAAACATTTAAACAAGAGTTAATACCTATTCTTCCCAAATGATTCCAATAAGTAGAAGAGGAAGGAAAGGTACCAAATTCATTCTATGAGGCCATCATCACCCTAATATGATAACCAGATAAAGTTAACACCGAAAAAGAGAACTATAGGCCAACATCACTGATGAACAGAGATGCAAAAATTGTAACAAAATACTAGCAAATCAAATCCAACAATACATTAAAAAATCATTTACCATGATCAGGTGGGATTTTTTCCTGGGATGCAATGGTGGCTCAACATTCACAAACCAATCAGTGTAACACATCACATCAATAAGAGTATAAAAATCACATGATCATGTCAATAGATATAGAAAAAGCATTTGACAAAGTACAACATTCACTCATTATTTGAAAAAAAAATCTCAACAAAGTAGATTTACATGAAACATACCTCAACATAATAAAAGCCTTATATGAAAAACCCACAGTGAACATCATAATGGGAAAAACCAAGAGCCTTTACCCTAAGTTCAGGAACAAAATATGGGTGTCCACTCTCACCACTTTTATTAAATATAGTAATAGAAGTCCTAGTAATAGCAATAAGACAACAAAAGAAATAAAAGACCTTCATATTGGTAAGGAAAAAGTACAACTTTCACTATTTGCAGATGACATGATCCTATATATAGAAGACCCAAAAGATTCCTCTACAAAATTACTAGAAGTGATAAATGAATTCACTAATATCATAGGATACAAAATCAGTGTACAGAAATCTGTTGCATTCCTATAGGCTAATAATGAAACAGCAGAGAGTGTAATGAAAACAATCCCATTTACAGTTGCACCAAAAATAATAAAATACCTAGGAATAAACTTGTCTGAAGAAGTAAAAGACCTGTGCTCTGAAAACTAAAACACTAATGAAAGAAAGTGAAGATGACATAAACAAATGGAAAGGTATTCCATGCTCACGGGTTGGAAGAACAAATACTCTTTAAATGTCTATACTACCCAAAGCAATCTACACATTTAATGCAATCCCTATCAAAATTCCAATAGGATTTTTCACAGAACCAGAACAAGCAATCCTATAATTTGCATGTAACTGCAAAAGACCCCAAAAGGCCAATGTAATCTCACAAAAGGAGTAACAAAACTGGAGGTATCACAATTCCAGATTTAAAGTTATATTACAAAGCTGAAGTAGTCAAACAGTATGGCACTGGCATAAATAAGACACAAAGATCAATGGAACAGAATAGAAAGGCCAAACCCACAGCTATATAGTCAATTAATTTTCAACAAAGGAGGAAAGAATATACAATGGGAAACAGTCTTTTCAAATATTGCTGGGAAAACTGGACAGCTACATGGAAAAAAACCTGGACTGCTTTCTTGTACCATACACAAAAATAAAGTCACAATGGATTAAGGACATAAATGTGAGGCCTTAAGCCATATAAATCCTAGAAGTGAGCATAGCCAGTCATGTCTCTAAAATTGGCCATAGCAACATTTTCTGGATATGTCTTCTGAGGCAAGGTAATTAAATGCAAAAATAAACTATTGTGACTACTTCAAAATAAAAGTTTCTGCACAGTGAAGGAAACAGTCAACAAAACTAAAAGGCAACCTATGGAATGGGGGAAAATATTTTCAAATGACATATCCAATAAAGGGTTAGTATCCAAAATACATAAAGAACTAATACAAGGGTGCCTGGGTGGCTCAGTTGGTTGACTGTCTGACTCTTGGCTTCAGCTCAGGTCATGATCTCACAGTTCATGAATTCAAGCCCTGTATCAGGTTAAGCATCCGACTTTGGCTCAGGTCATGATCTCATGGTTCGCGAGTTCAAGCCCCGCATCAGGCTCTGTGCTGACAGCTCAGAACCTGAAACCTGCTTCGGATTCCGTGTCTCCCTCTCTCTCTGCCCCTGCCCTGCTCATACTCTGTTTCTGTTTCTCAAAAAGTGAATAAACATTTAAAAAAATATATTAAAAAATTGGGCAGAAGACATGAACAGACATTTCTCCAAAGAAGACATACAGATGACAAACAGAAGAGAAACTCATGAAGAGATCATGAGTGATCAATGTTACTCATCATGAGGGAAATTCAAATCAAAACTACAATGAGATATCACCTCACACCTGTCAGAATGGCTAAAATCAACAACACAAGAAAGAACTAGTGTTGGTGAGGATGTGTAGAAAAAGGAACCCTCATGTATTGGGAATGCAAACTGGTGCAGCCACTGTGAAAAACACTACGGACATTCCTCAAAAATTTAAAAATGGAATCACCCTATGATCCAGTGATCACTCTACTGGGTTTTTTATCCCCCAAAATACAAAAGCACTAACTCAAAAGGATACATGCCCCCACCAACCCCCATGTTTATTGCAGCATGATGTCGTATTAGTATTTCAGTGTATGTATTTTACCATAGCCAAATTATGGAAATAGCCCAAGCAAGTGTCCATTTATGGATGAACGGACAGAGATGTGGTATATATATACAATGGAGTATTATTCAGCCATAAAAGAATAAAATCTTGCCATTTGCAATAACATGGATGGAGCTAGAGAGTATAATGGTAAGCAAAATAAGTCAGAGAAAGACAAATACTATATAATTTCACTCGTGTGAAATTTAAGAAACAAACAAGGAAGTGAAAAAAAAGAGAAAACCAAAAAACAGACTTTTAACTACAGAGAACAAACTCATGTTACCAGAGGGGGGAGGGGGGATGCATGAAATAGCTGATGGGGATTAAAGAGTACACTTATCATTATGAGCACTGAGTAATGTATAGCATTGTTGAATCAATATGTTGTACACCTGAAATTAATATAATGCTGTATGTTAACTATACTGAAATTAAAATGAAAAAAATAATGAGGAAAAAGAAACCTAAGGGATGCTATGAGTCAAAGAACTCTAAGGACTGTAGGATAACAAATCGTAAAGGAGGAAGATGGCAGCCGGCAACAACAACAGCAACAACACAAAGCTGGATTTGCCTAGTATAAAGTGCTGCACTTTCTCTCTCTTTACTTGGCTGGGATGCCATGACATGAGACTGACAGGTTGCAAGCTACATTCACAGCCCTGTGCACACCTTAGCACATGTCAAGGTAATAGAAACACTGGTAGCTGATTGCCCCTGAGATGATGCCTACAGCAGGGCACTGCTGAAAAAGATTCCAAAATGTGTTTTATTCATGATGTGTTATATCCCAATATTAATTAGATTTCTATTTGTATAAGACTGTCATAGTTAAGATATTAACAGGAGAACTGGTAAAAGATTCCCAGGCAACAATTGCTATATTCCAACAAATAATTACATGGAGAGATTCTCTAAAAATGAGCTGACCCTGGCATGACAGTTGACAGCTCGTCTTTCTACAGTGGTGTCAACCCCTTCAGCTCAGAGGCAAGCCTCTGGGCTAGAGAATCTGTGCATGATCTAGGCATTTGCTTATGTGAAAAAGCCAGATCCTAGAGCAAACAAAGCCCAGAACATGTCCTTCCATCAGGAATGATTTGAAGAATGAGGATCTCTCATTGACTCTCATAAATCAAGTACTTAAGCTTTACAAGAATTCTGAACAGGGGCATCTGGGTGACTCAGTGGGTTAAGCATCCGACTTTGGCTCAGGTCATGATCTTGCCGTCTGTGAGTTCAAGCCTGGCGTCAGGCTCTGTGCTGACAGCTCAGAGCCTGGAGCTTGCTTTGGATTCTCTGTGTGTACCTGTCTCTCTGCCCGCCTCTCTCTCTCTCTTTCTCTCTCTCTCAAAAATAAATATTTAAAAAATTGTAAATAAAGTAATTGGAGCAGTAGTTACCCAACTATGCTTCCCAAAACATTAGTCTCACAGGATCCTAGAGGTATCCCAAGAAAAAGTAACCCTCACGCACAGAAATTTGGAAAACAGTGCATAGTATTCTTCTTCTTTCTGAGCTTTGCAAGGCATATGAATATGCTGTCTCTTTGATACCACTGTACAAAAGAAACCCGTTTAACACTATTTAACCTAGAGTTTCCTGAGCTTATTTATTCACAGATATTTCCAAGGAACAGCACACAATATCTGGAATTACTGTTTGGGAAACCATAAAGAAAAAACCATATATACTCAATACCTAAAGTGTGCCAGACATCCTCAATTTACTTTGATTATGCAGAAGCCAACAAAACAGGATAGGATGTCTTCATGATCATCAGCTCTCATTTATTATTTAGTATATGAGAACACACCCATAGCATTCAATTTGTTTGGATTCGGGGGTAAAAATGGGATTTGATTTTTCCTGCGACTTTCATTTTGGGTGACTAACCAGTTTTAACTGTTATGTTGACATGAGCATGTTTTAGGTGTTTACTGAAAGGTTAGTGTCAAAAGAATTTAATGTCCTGGTGGGCTTGTGTTTTTCTCTGAGGCAGATATTGATGAATGCACAGAGGGAATCATTGAGTGCCACAACCATTCCCGCTGCGTTAACCTGCCAGGGTGGTACCACTGTGAGTGCAGAAGCGGTTTCCATGACGATGGGACCTATTCACTGTCCGGGGAGTCCTGTATTGGTAAGCAGCTTTTAGCCATGCCCTCATCCTTCTGGACCTTTGCAGGAGGGGCAGCCTGCTTTGGCACTCTTTTCAGCTTCCGTGTTAAAATATGACCCCTTGCTGGTTAAACTCATTAGTTTTCAAATTTCCTCCCTCAACAATTCAGGGATTAGGTAGGGATTATGCAGTGTGGGGTTTTAGGATTTTTATATGGAAACTGGGGCAGTCAGAGTATCAAAGCCTGAGTCTGTATGCTGTGGCTTTTAGTTCTTTTGCAGTAAAATCATGATGGCTTGCTGAAATTTTTAACAGTTTGAGAAACAGAAGTGGGAGAAGAAGAAATACTACTAGACTGAGAAAGTTTAGTTTAAATTCCAGCTCTTATACTGCACCTCTGTGAGCCTTCTGCTGTGAAAGTGATAAAAGTAGAATAATGATATATATGTGTTGCCAGGATTAAGTGGGATACCACACATTTAAAAATTGTAAGCTTTACATTGTTATGCAAACATAATATAGCTGCATTAACCTTATTATTGTTATTACCACCATCATCCTTACAAAGTTTCCTTTCACCACTGTTCTGCTTGAGATTCTGTTAAGTGCTGAACAGAGGAAATTAACAGTTTTTCATCTTCAAGACCCTACAACTTTCATAAAATACAAACAACTGATCAAAACTCTAATTGTTTCTGTGAGAACCTTGGCCATTCCACTTATGTCATGTCCTGTGAACTCAGCTAAATTCTTTAGGCTGATTTGGACAGACCTAAAGGGCAAGCATTCTGGCTTTGGGTCCAGACTGCTGAATTAGAAAATGCAAATTTGATTTTGAAAATTCATTCATTCTCTTGTCTTTGCTCGTTGCATATCTTTTTTTTTTTAATGGTTGCTACTGAGATCCATCTAATGTTTTTCTGTTTTTCCCAACTTCTCCCCTGAGGTTGTTTTACAGTAAAGATGAATTAGGGAACAGTGGGTGCACAGCGTGAACTGTCCACCACAGTTTGACGCCACTGTTGAGAGGCATGCAGTGTAGTTGTGAAAAGCATGGATCCTAGAGCCAGACTCCCTGCAGTCAGAGTCTAGCTCTGTCATTTCTAACTTCCCTGTGGCAAGATCTTATCTAGTCCACACCTCAGTTATCTCATCTGAAAAATGGAAATGTTCTATCTGGGTCAGAGGAGTGCTGGGAGAACTAGTTGAATTGACACCTGTTAAATGTGGACTGAATGTTAGTTACTGTTATCTTAAATTTTCCTACATATTCAGCACTCTGCCCCCAGCTCTGTATATGTTTCTTTTATTCTTAAAATAAAGATCTGTGACCTTAGGGAGAGGTTTACATCTATCCTGGGTCTTCAGATACTTCCTTTACATATGGCCAAGAACTTCTGTATGTGTGTACCTCAGTGTGAATAAATGTTACGTGAATAGGCATAGATAGAATGGCAGTTGTTACTGAGAAATGGAGGTAGAGAGATGGAATGCTGACATATGTGGTGTTATATTTGGGCATTAAAAATAAAAATGTCATTTTTAAACAGTGTATTTGACCTCATTAAATGGGAGACTCTTGGCTTTTTATTGGATAAAGGGGCTGAGAGATCACCTAGTTAAACCAATTTTATAACTGCTTGGACCTGCCATGGCCTTGCACACTTATGTGCCTTTGCTTATGCTCTCCCTTCTGGCTGGGAGAGAACAGAACTTTGAATCGAAGATGACCCTATCTTTTCTTTGATCATGTTGATTCGTATATAAATTTCTGTTCTTTTTCCTCAATTCATCTCATGTGCCACGAGGCCCCCATGAGGCATTTTTTGATGTCTTCATAGGAGCTCTCACTCTTGTCCTCTGCTAACTGTAGCTTTACCCTGATGTATGTTTCTGTGGCTTGACACGCTGTACCACTGTCAGTATATTTGCTCTGTGAGTGTGAAATGGACTTCATTCTTCTGTCTCTTCAGTAAGACCCTTTAGTAGTTAGTATTCAGTCACTGAGAAAAATGCAACCACTTCATGTGACTGATAAAGAAATTCAGTCTCAGAAAGGTGATACCTTGTTCCTAGCCACATAGTTGGTTCGATACAGGTTGAGACTCAAGCCTAAATGAAGGGTAACTCTACACCCCAGATACCAGGTACAGTTCCAGTTTATGCCTGTTGTTCTGATGTAATTATCCATAGCACCCTGTGACTCCCATAAATGTCCCCGTTCAGTTGACAGATGTCATGGTCACCTCACCTGTGGAGTCTTCTCTTCCATGCTAAGTTGAATGCCTGGGGATCAAATCTCCTGCCCTCCCTGAGGAGGCACTTTCTTCTTCCATGAACTGATCTCTGTTCTGCACAGGAAAACTATAGCAAACTCGATTCCTTGACAAGGCAGTAGAGTTGTTTTTATTAGTGGCATTTTTAATTCAGGTAATTCTTAATCTGAATGCCCTTTCATTTCCACACTTTTGGAAGTAACTTTGTGAATGGGTCTTAATAAGAACAGAAGTCTGGCCATCATTCAGTTTTTCTTTGGTAGTTGAGAGCACTCTGTTCATGGTGCTCTCATGGTGCTCTGTTCTGTTCATGGTGCAACATATATATATGTCAGATCATTTCATTTTTGTATTACACCTTTCTAATGCCTTTCCACTGAATGGAAAATAAATTTCTAAAATCTTCATGTGGACTTCGAGGCTTTAGGTAATATTGCCTCTACCTACTTCTTGGATTTAACTCTTATCGATGTTAGCCTTTTTAATCTTTTCATGCCTTGAACGTACAATGAACTCAGCCAGTTTCAGAGCTTTTGCCTTTGCTGTTCTGTCTGCAACACTCATTGCCTGTCATTATATGGCTGTCTTTTTTCTTTATATAATTCTCAGCTCAAATCCCACTCCCTGACCATTTTATCTGAAGTAGTCCTTTTCTGGTGACTTCACTAAATCACTCTCTTTGCTATCTTTTGTAACATTTTTAATTCTCAATTTGTTGTACATACCTGTGTGTGTAATTGTCTCTTGCCACAAGGGTACAAATTGAGGACAGAGACCTTGTTCATATTTTTCCACTGTCCCTCCGGCCCCTAGAACAGTGTAGGTACAAATGGGATAAGTAATGCATATATGTCAAATGTTTGAAGGACTAGAAGTAATAAAAACCATATCAAGTCGGATTTATTTTCTGTTTGGTTTGGCATAACTAGTTGTGTGGATGGTGGTTAATACATAAGATGTTAAATATCACAAAATCATGTGAGTTTTATTTCAGAAAAAAAAATTATTGAGAACAGCCATCACACTAGCATTGTGTTAAGAGTTTTGGGAATGTGGGTATGAATCAGGTAAGATCTCTGTTCTTGAGCGATTTATGACCTGAAATATTCTGAATCATCAAAATACACCTTAATAGCATTGGAAATTATTCTATCACACCAGGCCCTAAATAACATCATCTATTAATTCTTACACATAAAGAAATAGCATCTGAAACAACCTATAAAATTTTTTATAAAGGTGTTTGACAACGTAGATTCAACTATGCTTTTTCCTGAAATCATATTGGGAATGGCATGTGTTAGAAGCCGAAATGAGGCAGTCCAGGAGAACAGTTGCATGCCACTCCATGCCATTTTTGTCAGATGGAAATAATAACACCTGATCGATGCATCAGTTGCTGTAAGCATTGCATGTTACTGATGTCAGAAGAACCAGCACACATGCACATTTACTATGTCATGAGAAAAATGCTTAAGATTTGCCTCTTTCTCCTAAAGTGCATCATCTAATTGAAGAAACGATAAGTCTTAGGTATTATAGAGGCAGACAGAATCAGCATTACTGAGGAGTCTAACAGACTGTGTGTCTACCTGCCCCTTTCTCTTATGCTTGTTTATTTTTATAATTCCAGGAGAGCTGTGCATACAAAACTTTGCCCAATGGTATTTGCACACAGGATGACTACCTACAGTGGCTACCGTAGGGTGCAGTGCAGCGTGCTCTTTCTTTAGATGCGGTAGTGGGAGTCAGGGATTCCCAGTTGCAACATAGAAGTTTTGAGCTGTTGATTTTTTATCTAGACATAATTATCTGGGTCATCTAGAAATAGGAACTAATGTATAATTAACAATGGCATATGTAAAGAGCAGGGGTTTACATATTTTGAAAAGGAGATTCAAACTCCCTCGATGTCAGTCTATCTCCATGATCTTGCTCCTGCAAATGAAACTTTATTTTCCTCTGCTTCCTCTCTCACTGTGCATGGATCTGCTAGCCTGCTCAAATCCCTCTTCCATTCTTCCCAAACCCTGGACTCTCTTTCATTAAGTCCTTTACTTGTATGCTTTTCTCTGACCATCCTTCTGTCCTCATTTCCAGTTGTCAAAATCCTGATGAAGTCCTGCTTCCTAAACCAGTGATTCTCAAACCTGTTTCACAGTAGATTCACCTGAGTAGCTTTAAAAAAAAATACTTATGATGGGCCAGCACACCTGGAGATTCTGATTTAGTTGACTTTTTGGGGGACATAGACAGAGTCATCTGTTTTTTTTTTTTTTTTTTTTTTTTTTTTTTTTTTTTTGAAGTCTCCAAGTCAGTAGAAAGAATATTGAGTTAATTTAGAGAACTACCATCATAGAATTTCTATAAGATCATCTTCATCATCAGCATCTTCATCTTCATCATCTCCCTTTTATGCATCCCCATGGCCATTTATTTGCAATCTCTTATGGAACTTGCCAGATCAGGCTTGTCTTCTCCATTAGTTGGTTGAGATTTTGATACTTTGATATCCTTTATAGATTTGTATTGAATTAAATTGTATTAGTCACACATTGGTTGTTGTTTTTATTGAACAGAATTTTCAAATTCCAGTAGAATTTGTTTTGTTGATGAAGCAGCATACTGAGGGGTGACATACGGCTCTTCTTATGGGGCATGGCCCCTCGGCCTCTATTAATGCTGCTTCTGTAGAACTTGCTTGAGTGAGGCAGGTCCCCAGACCCTGGAGTCTGCTCTCTGATC